CCGCCCCGCTACGTATCCCCCCTCCGCCTTCCACCTCCCCGCCGCCATTTTCTCTCCGCGCTCCGTTCATGTGAAGGCCGGTGGATGGTCTCGCACCGCCGCCGCTCGCCGCCGCGCCCGGCTGGAGGAACCGCCGCCGCCTGAGGCCCGCCCTGCCCGGGGGAGGGGAGGGGGTACCTGGCTCGTCCCCCCTCCCCGTTGTTCGGTGATGCGCTGACGGGGGAGGGCCCCCCACCGGGCCGGTACCGTCGAACAGTTCGCCGGGCAAAGTGGGGGGGTCGTCGGAAGAGACGGCGGCGGCGGGAGGAGGAGGAGGAGGTGAAGAAGAAGAAGAGGGACGGCCGGGATCGCGGGCCGGGCACGCAGCCGCCGGCATGTTGCAGAATGTGAATCCCCAGAGCAAGTAGGTACCGGCGCCGTAGGGGGGGGGGAGATTGGTGTCACGCGTGGGTTGTGACCGTGGTTGATGGCGGGGAGCGTGGGGTTACACGGTATTTTGAGGTCGGGCTTTGCCCCGGCTGCTGTTGTCTCTCTGGTGGCCTGGGGACAGGTGGACGGACAGCGGCTTTCTGTCCACGTTGGTGGGGCTGCGGGTCTCGCCCCCCACGATTTCGTCACTGGGGGCTACCCTGTCCCCCTTCCCAGCGCCGTCCTTGGCACTTGAGCCATGCCCTTGGCGGCTCAGGAGCCCCCGGGGAAGGGTCCCGCTGTGCCAAGCCCTGACGCCCGGGCAAGGCCGGTGGGCGCTGGGTGATAGTGGCGGGGACCTGTGGGTGGCCATCATGCAGGCCTGTGGGGTGACAAGTCACCCGTGGGGTCAGCTCAGGGCAAGGCGGGGGGGGTGGGTTCCCCCCGTCCAGGTTTAGGTGTGTGTGAAAGGTGCAGGGGTTGGGCAGGAGCTGGTTTTAGCTGCTGCCCGCATGCTCTGGAAACCTCCCAAGCCTTCGTGTCGGTGTCCTGGGGGTCCCTGGTGCCGCCGTGGCATGTTCTGGTCGGCCTTGTGACAAGTATTTTCTCTCCTGCGATATTTTGGTACCCTCATACCGGTCCTGGGCTGCCGGTCATTGCCGTAAAATGCTGGTTGTTGCCATAAAACGCTGGCCGTTGCCGTAAAATGCCGGTTTTTGCCCTTAAATTGGCGCAGGAGTCAGTTGTGAGCGTGACGCGGTCATGGCTGCGCCACCTCCCTGGGTCTGTGAGTCTCTCGAGTCCTGGCCTGTCCCCATGGATGGTTTTGGGTCTTTGCAACCAGGACGGCATCAAGCCGCCCGCGATCTTGGCCCTGGCATTGACATAACGGTCCAGCTGCGCAGTGGGGCTTTGTCACATCCCCAAATCCCGCCGGAGCTCCCGGTCCTGGACTTCAAGAGCTGGCGACACCCGGGTAGTGTCACCGTCGCCTCGACGCGCAGCAGCTCCGTCACTGCACCGGCACCGTCACCTCCGCGCGCGGCCCCGCGCGCTGGCTCTTTGTTCGAGGGCGAGCCTGGACCCGTGCCAACCTCTCGGCTCTGGCTGCGCCGGCGCAGGCGGCTCTCCCGGCACCGGCAGGGACCTGGGCGACCGCCTGGCAGCAGTTAATGGGCGCAACCGGAGTTCGCTCTCAAATCCCCCCACCTGGACACTGAGGAGATGGGCGATGGGACCTCACCCATGTCCTGGGAATTTGTAGCCGAGTGCGGCAACGTTTCCGCCCTTAATTGCAATTTTAGGAGCGGTTGGCTCTTTCTGGGGAGGGTTTCTCTTGGGAACCCTGAGGCCCAGCCCTGCCGATTTTTTTTTTTTTTTTTTCCTTTTTAGTAATCTTTTTTTGTTGGCCGAGGCGGTGGTGCGGCAATCCTGGCGCAGAGCTGCCCCGCTAACCCTGTCTCTGCTCCCCTTTCAGGATTCTGGGGGAGGGCAATGCCGGGCTCATGGGCCTGGCGACGGAATCGACCCCCGGCAAGCGGATCCGCAAACCCTCGCTCCTCTACGAGGGCTTCGAGAGCCCCACCATGGCGTCGGTGCCAGCCCTGCAATCCCCCCAGGTGAACCCACCTCCACCGGAGGTTTCCAATCCCAAGAAGCCCGGTCGCGTCACCAACCAGCTGCAGTATCTGCACAAAGTGGTGATGAAGGCTCTGTGGAAGCACCAGTTTGCTTGGCCCTTTCGTCAGCCCGTCGACGCTGTCAAGCTGGGCCTGCCGGTAACGAGCCCTGCGGGCGGGTGTGGGAGAAGTTACGGCACCCGGGACGTGCGCGAGTGTGTTTGTCCCCCCCTCCTGCCCCTCGCTTGCCCCTCACCCCCCCCACACCATGCTGATGCATGCAGGCAGGGGGTGTTAGGCAGATGTATTGTTAAATTTGGTGCTGCCTGACCCCGGACGTGGTGTGTGTCCCCTGCCCCGACCCCAAGCCTGAGAGTGCCAGGGCCGGCGCCGTCCCCCTCCCGGGGGCTCCACCACAGAGATGCAGTTGCAGGTGCCTGGGCTGTGCAATCCTCGCCCTCTCCTGGGGCCATAACCTGTACCAGCCCCCCACCTCAGCCCCTCGTAGGCATCCGGGCTGGTCCTGGGGACGTCCTCAGAGCAGCTGCCACCCCTCCCTTTTGCCCCGATGTCCCCTACAAAGGTATGGATGAGGTGACGCAGCCGCTCTAGAGGTAACCCGGACGCTTCCCCACCTAATCTCTTGTGCCCTGAATGCATTTTGCAGATTCCCATCCATGAATTTGTAGAAGACATCTTGTGACCCCAATATTAAACGCCAGCCCCCCCGTGCACCTGTGGCGCCCAAGGAGTTAAAGCCCGGAGGTAATTTCCATGTAGGTTTTGCTCTTAAAATTTAGCATTAGCTTTCCCTGAGCCCCCATCCCACCTCTCGTGCGGGAAGCGCGCACCTTCCGGATGCTGGGGGTCCGGCCGTTCCCGTAGCGTAGGCTCCCCGTCCCCCCACACCTCCCCGCCCCGGCAGAGCTGGCTGCTCCCCAGGCACCTTAGGGTCCCTCTTGCTCCACCGTGGGTGAAGGGGGACGGTGGCACTCTCGGGTGGGGACCAGGTCCGGAGGCATTTCTTGAACCCCATGCACCCCCTGCCTGCGCTTGGGTGATGAATGAGAGCTGGTGTGTGAGCTGGCGCTTTGCCGGGTGCCTGAGCGATTGCGGAACTGGGGAGGTTGGGGACGCAGGCGCTGTCACCGGTGCATCCCTGACCACCAGTCCTGTGTCCTTTGTCGGCAGGACTACCACAAGATCATCAAGCAGCCCATGGACATGGGGACAATCAAGCGACGCTTGGAGAACAACTATTACTGGGGGGCTGCGGAGTGCATGCAGGACTTCAACACTATGTTCACCAACTGCTACATCTACAACAAGGTGAGAACCATGCCGGTGCCACCGGTGAGTCCCGTGGTACTTTCTTGGCGAACTCTTGACGTTGCCTCCGGTCTTCCCTGTAGCCCACTGATGACATTGTGCTGATGGCCCAAACCCTGGAGAAGATTTTCCTGCAGAAGGTGGCGCAGATGCCACCAGAAGAGCAGGAGATCGTGGTGCCGGTGGCCAAGAACAGTCATAAGAAGGGAGCGTCCCGGGCAGCAGGTATGGTGATGCCACATGGGACGGAAAGACTGCTTGGGGGTGGCAGCGGTGCTAACGGGGCGGGGGGGGCTTCTTGTCTTGGCCCAGCGCTCCTGGCGGGACTCACGGCTGCTCAGCAAGTGCCGGCTGTCTCCTCAGTGTCCCACACCGCAGTCTACACCCCAAGCCCCGACATCCCCACCACCATAGTCAACATTCCCCACCCATCCGTGATTTCCGCTCCGCTCCTCAAGTCGTTGCACTCCACTGCCCCGGCCGTCCTGGCTGCACCCGCTCCCACCCAGCCCGTGGCCAAGGTAGGAGGAGGGCAGACCCTGGCCGTGGGGCAGGCTCTGTGGGGCTGGAGTGTGGGGCTGGCTTCTCCCCCTGCCCCCCCCCAGCCTCACACGTGGTTCTTTTCCCTTTTCTTTTGACAGAAGAAGGGTGTGAAGCGGAAAGCGGACACCACCACCCCCACCACCACGGCCATCATCGCCACCAGCGGAGAGTCCTCGCCCTCCGCCACGCTCTTGGAGGCCAAGGCGGCCAAGATCCCCGCACGCCGGGAGAGCGGCCGCCCCATCAAACCCCCCAAGAAGGATTTACCAGATTCGCAACAGCACCAGACATCCAAGAAGGGTAAACTATCAGAGCAGCTCAAGTACTGCAACGGGATCCTCAAGGAGCTGCTCTCCAAGAAGCATGCAGCCTACGCCTGGCCCTTCTACAAGCCTGTCGATGCCTCGGCCCTGGGGCTGCACGACTACCATGAGATCATCAAGCACCCCATGGACCTCAGCACCATCAAGGTGGGGCAGGAGAAAGGGGATGGAGGAGCCTTTTTGGGGGGGGCTCTGTGGCTTTCCTGTCTTTCCTCCCACTCCCCATGGGGACCCGGGAGCTCCCGCTTACCGTTTTCTCTCCCTGTAGCGGAAGATGGAGAACCGGGATTACCACGACGCGCAGGAATTCGCCGCCGACGTCCGGTTAATGTTCTCCAACTGCTACAAATACAACCCGCCTGACCACGACGTGGTGGCCATGGCCCGCAAGCTGCAGGTAAGTGGGGTGGTGGGTGTCCTGTCCCCCCGCTCCACCCACCGACCCCCCCCGCCTGCTCGCCGTGCTGACCCCGCTCCCCTCACAGGACGTCTTTGAGTTCAGTTATGCCAAGATGCCGGATGAGCCGCAGGATGCCAGCCCGCCCTCGGTGTCAGCCCCGCTTACTGGCGCCCTCTCCAAATCGTCCTCCGAGGAGTCCTCCAGTGACGAGGATGAGGACGATGAGGACGATGAAGACGACGACGAGGACGAGAGCAGCAGCGAGAGTTCATCAGAGAGTGAGGAGAGTTCTGACTCGGAGGAGGAACGTGCCAATCGCTTGGCCGAGCTGCAGGAGCAGGTGAGGGCCGGAGAAGGATCCGTGCCGCTTCCCGGGCCTGCTCCCCATGCCCGCCTCACCCCCTGTCTCCCCCCACAGCTGCGGGCCGTGCACGAGCAGCTGGCTGCCCTCTCACAGGGCCCCGTTTCCAAACCCAAAAAGAAGCGAGAAAAGAAAAAAAAGAAGAAATCGGAGAAGCACAAAGGCCGGGGAGGCGACGAGGAAGCCCGGGCGCGCCAGGCCCAGCTCCGTAAAGCCAAGAAAGCCGGTGGTGGTGGCAGCGGGACTGGTGGAGGCGGCAGTTCCAAGTGAGTGCGGCGTCCACGGCGCTGGGGTGGCGTGGGCGCGGGCAGCGGCTGTGATGACACTTTCCCCGGCAGAGCGACCGTGGTGAGAAACCGACTGGAACAAGCCAAACCTTGTCTGAGTGCTGCCAGCCCCAGGGATGGGGGGGGATTGGGGTTGGTTTGTGGTGGTGGTGGTGGGATGTTGGATTTTTGGGGCAGCCCTTGATGCCGCTGCGCCATTGATTCTCTCCCAGCAGGAACTCGAAGAAAACGGCTAAAGCGACGTTGCCACCGCCGCCAGCCCTTTACGATTCAGAGGAAGAGGAGGAGAGCAAACCCATGACTTATGATGAAAAACGTCAACTCAGTTTAGACATCAACAAATTACCGGGCGAAAAATTGGGGCGGGTGGTGCACATCATCCAGTCGCGAGAACCTTCCCTGCGCGATTCCAACCCCGAGGAGATCGAGATCGATTTCGAGACCCTCAAACCTTCGACGCTGCGGGAGTTGGAGCGCTACGTTCTCTCCTGCCTGCGGAAGAAACCCCGTAAACCTTACAGCGAAAGTAAGCGCCATGGGGTTGACACCGGGAGGGTTTTGGGGGGCTGGGGGGGTGGGGGCTGAGTCCCAAACCGAGCCTCCCCCTTTCTCCCTGCAGCCATGAAGAAGCCGGTGGGGAAGACGAAAGAGGAGCTGGCGCTGGAGAAGAAACGGGAGCTGGAGAAGCGGCTGCAGGATGTCAGCGGCCAACTCAATTCCACCAAAAAACCCCCTAAAAAGGGTGAGCATATAGCAGATGGCAATGGCCTCCCTGCTTCCTCTTCCGCCTCCCTGCTTCCTGTTCCGTCGTCGCACATGGCTGAGCCTTGCCGCTGTTTTACCTTGCAGCCAGCGAAAAAACGGAATCGGCTCAGCAAGTGGCTGTATCTCGCCTCAGCGCCTCCAGTTCCAGTTCGGATTCCAGTAGTTCCAGTTCCAGTTCGTCATCCTCGGACACCAGCGATTCGGATTCGGGTTAGAGGAATCTCGCGTCTCTCCCCACTGTGGCGTGGCTGAGCCGGAACATGGGTGGCTTTGGAAAAAAGAGGTTCTGCGGGACCGGATCCAGGTTGAATCGGACTGAGGGGGGGGCCCTTCACCCGGCAGGCAGAGCCCCCCACCCCACCTGGGGCTGATGGGGAGGGGTTGGGGGCAGGGAGGAGGAAGAGGGGAGAGAAGAGGGGGGTGAGGGGGGGACCCCAAGTGTTTACAGGCTGGAGGCATTGCAGGGGAAGGGGAGGAGAAAGGGGGGGGGCCCTGGCTGCAGGGTTGGGCCTCCCTCCTCCTCTTCCTCTTCCTCCTCCTTCCCCCCCCCCCAACAGGTTTTACTGTTTGTTGTTTTAGGTTGGGGGGGTTCTTGCTTTTTTCTTTTTCTTTTTTTTTTTTCTTCTTCTTCTTCCCTGACTTGTGGGAT